GGTGAGATTTGTATTTGATTCTGCGTTTTCTTATCTCCATTGCAATCCGAACGATTTTTTCTGTGAAATTGGATCTTCGATGATGATTTTGACGGGGTTTTATGGTCTCGGAAACTCGACATTGGAATCTTATAGGCCTCGATCGATATTTATAAGAGTTGACGCATCTATGTGTAGCTGTTATTTGAATATCGCGATCTTGTTTGTCTTGGACATAAATCTACGCGCCTATCTGAGTTTTTTCTTCCCTTGTTTTCAATCATTTTGACTTTGGCGTTTGGTTTTGAGATTTTCTTCAGAGATGATGATGAAATATAGATTTTCCTTTGGTCAATGGCTTTTGAGTAACTACTTTGTTTTTATGTACCATTTTTTTTCTAATGTTGATTTCAGCTTAATTCAGAGAAGAGCCCATTTCAACGTACTTATGCAGCTCAGGTAAATTCTTGCTTATGTGTTTGTGTTGGAATGGAATACAGTCACGTTCATATAATTATGTTGTAAGAAAGTACATCTTACAATTCTGATAATTTTCTCTCGTTTTTTGATGGATTAAGATAAAAAGATGTGGAGAAATGGCACGGAAGATACGTTTCTTCAAGGATCAAATGTCGAAAGCAGGAGTTGTACCCAAGGAGATGCTAGAGAAGGAAAATGATATTGACTTGGATGATGTTGAGGTAAAATGTGAATACCTGCTTTTCATTTTCCTTGTCATGCTTTCGATTTAACTCACGGAGATGATTTTATTTTTTTCTGGCTTGTCAGGTAAGGCTTGGAGAGCTAGAAGCTGAACTTGTGGAAATCAATGCTAATAATGACAAGTTGCAGCGATCCTATAATGAACTTATGGAGTACAAGTTGGTTCTTCAGAAGGTACATGCTTTTTATATATTTAGTTCATGGCTTTGAAGATGTTATGTCGGATTATGCAAAGAGTAGTATGTTCACATTATTTAATTTGTAATCAACTTTGTTATTATTGGTTTGTAAGTCTTTATATACCTTAAGTTATTAGATCACGTAATATTCTATAAAGAAATTTATAATGAGCCTGAGCCTGAGGCTTTTCATGGTGATACGTAGGCTTCTGATGTTATGGTTGAATCCCTGGATGTGCAGCTAGTCTATATTTATCTGAATGTGATCTTTTCAGGCTGGTGAGTTCTTTTCTTCTGCTCATAGAAGTGCCACAGCTCAACAGAGTGAACCAGAATCACCACGTGGGGGTGAAGATCTGCTGGAGTCTCCTTTGTTGCAGGAGGTACGACAGATGCAGCAATTCTCCTGCTTAAAGGTTTTCTAATTTCTTGGTTAGTTACCAACAGTTACAATAGCTCCTTTTAAACAGGAGAAGTCCATTGATTCGTCAAAGCAAGTAAAGCTTGGATTTCTGACCGGTTTAGTGCCTCGTGAAAAGTCTATGGTGTTTGAGAGGATTCTATTCCGTGCTACTAGGGGAAACATCTTTACTCGACAGTCTGTCATTGATGAGGCGGTCATTGATCCCAACTCCGGGGAGAAGGTTAGATGCTTCTGCTTTTCTCTTTTATTCTCTTAGACACAGGAAGCAAGCTCTTAAACTGATGCAGGGGCTCAGTTAC